GACCTGTAAGTTCAAGGTCGTTGTGACGGTGTGTAAAGAACACAAAAGAATTCAATTTCATAAAAAATGTCAGTTATGAACACCAAAATTAAAAAATGTGGATGTTTTTATAACGGTTATAATAATTTAGCCCTTTGAAACCGAAGATCTTACAAACAATACTTAAAAAAGTCAGTCCGCACCGCAAAGAAAACACACAACACTTATCAGAATCGTACGAACCCATAAGTTCACTCTGTCACTTGTTAAAGCAGGTGGTACGTGTATTTACCAGTGGGTTGTAAGGATTAAACGTAGTTCTATGCAGAAATTCGAGTCCTTTTTTTATCGGTACTGGGTCCCGCACTGTAGAAGTCAGTGATTCGACACTGGTATGCCCCGTAGGGCATTGGAAGTCATAAAGTTTTATTTTATTTGTACAGATATTTTAACAGCTATAAATGCAGGAATCGGGCGTTCAGATGTTTTGTTATAACACTCGACATTCTTGTGTTCGATTGACTGCAGAGGACTTTGATGTCCGAAGACGTCCTTTTTGTTGAGAGTTCTTTGGCCCCGACATTTGCTGCACGAGGTAAAGAACAGAAAATGAATAAATGAAATATCGAAGTGCATGCCATTTCGCCAGATGCGCCTGCCTTCTGTAGGTTTGTGATTCAGCACAAATCTTAAAACGACGACTTCTGATTCCTACAATAAAGAACACGTCTTTTAACTCGTCAGGAAGCCGTTAGAGTTATTAGCACAGCGATTTCAGACGAGAGGTGGACAGTAATTGGCGCTGATTGCAGGCTGACATTTCCGTCGTGGATTCAGTGCTAATTCCATTTTTCCGCCATTTTGCGCAATGAAGTTTGATAGAAATTGACGTACGTCTTAGAGGTCCTCACATCCTCTACCATAAGGGAGATCGCCTTTGTAACAGCAGTCAATTTCTACCAAACTTCACGGGGAAACATTCCAAAGTCATCGTCAATGTTTGCTCTCCTTTTCCACCAGGGGCGCTGAGGGCAAATAAGACCACGTAGTGTCACAATGCTCTGGGAGGGACTGAATAAAACAATGAGAAACTTCAGTCGGGATAGCCCATAACGTGGCCAGGATTTGAACCCAGGACTCCCTAGTACGAGCGTCAGTCAGTCGCGAATTGTCTGACGTAATTTCAGCCCAACCAGGGCGCGGATGGGGTAGGTCTCCTCCCTTCTCGTCCTGCAGTTTGACGGTGTTATGACGAACGCAGTTGAGAAAGCGTCGATAAACCGTGAACAATTGCGAGACAGGATGCACTTACGCACTTCCTGGCCGGAAAGACTGACGGGAAGTCTCCATTTGATAATTCTGGTGTCGGCAGTGGCGTGGTAAGAGCGGGAAAGCAGAAATGCGTACAAAATTTTAAGTCAGGACATTTAAGTGCAGATAAGGTAAAATTGTCCATGGTACTTACTAAGTACCACGCCATGAAGCCGTGCCTCGGCCGATTTATCCCCTGGAAAGAGGCCCCGGTACCGAGTTTTTGGTGATTTGATTAATCATCCCTGATGATGAAACCAGCAAGCACCTCCGAAACTTAGGGTAAAATATACATAACCACAGAAGACTCGACATCTTCATACTCGTCGCTGTGAGAACCTGAAATCTCATACGAAGTGAATTATCCCCCATTTCATAAGCGTAATTATAATTTCCTTCAATTTTAATTCAAATATCGCAATTTAAAATTCGTGATTCTTTTATTTCTACCACATCTCCGATTTTATTTTTTATTTTGAACACAAATTTATTTTGGAACTAAAACAACCCCGAGAAATGTAGTCAACCGTTTCCTTCCCGTGGCGGAGGGGAGACCTGGCAACAGGGGTGGGTTTTTGTGTACGTCGGGGGTTGTTCTCCTTAGCCACGAGGGTGCAGCGTAGTGCAGGTCAAACCGAGGCCATAATACACTAGACACACAGCCTTTATGTAAAAGGGGTTGTCTGCTGTTGTTTTAATAGTTTGTTACGAAGATCCTGTCTTAGTTTAACGTCACTTAATTAATAATGGTCTCAGGTTTTGTCTTCATCAGTTTAAAATCTGTCCTGAGATCGAAATTCGTTGAGTTATCTTGGTATACGACAATTTTCCATCATCCTTCCAATGTGTTCTGACAATCTCATTTTTTCATTCGTATATAATCAATTCTTTTTGCAGTACTGTAGTCATCACACAACATTGTCGATTAATAATTACAATTCAATATTTATTCCCTTAAACTTCTGTTTTTATACTCGTAGGCCTGTAAATTATTCCACGCGGATAATATACAATTTCAAAACAAACAGTCGAGCCTGTCAGTTCAACCAAAAATTAGTAATTTAATTCTAGTAACACAACAGTAAACACCACGGTGGTCTAGCGGTTAGAACGCTGGCCTTGTAATCCTGGGGTCTCGGGTTCGATTCCCG